TTGGCCGATTCGCTTACTGTTTACGTCTTATTGTCTTTGTCTCTACATTTTTGTATGGGCAAAGACAAAGAACAAATCCCAAAAAAAACAAGAGCACAGATAGATGAAATATTGGACGATTTTTTAATTTATAAAAAGTTCGATACATAGCCGTGCAAAGGAATACGATATAATTTTATTGTTTTTCATAAACAACACAACAATTGACAACAATTTTGTCTACGTGCATGCTTAATATATAGATATTCTGTAATTAAAGCTTCAAAAATATAAGCAATTTAGTTGCCAAGAATTGTTTCATTTTTTTCATATTTATTACAATTATGATCATCACTATTTGTATTACAAGATAGAAATTTTCATTCTTAGGTATCCTTAAAATATATATATCGGTTGCTTCGGATTAATTTAAAAATTTATTTAAAAATAAAATATACAGTACTAATAAGTTTGAAAACACCTTACATTGTACAGAAAAATTTACGCAACTGCGATCTATATTTTATTTAAATACGTTATAAGAAGTCTAAATAGTGATAAATATAAATATTTTTATCTAGAACACCTAAGTTTGTACATGCTGAAAATATGTCAAACAAGCATTTAATAGCTCAAAATTGAATTTCGCGCTTTGATCTATTGTTTATATATTATCATTTGTTTTGCAATGTCGTACTTGCGTTATATATACACATCACAGATCGTTTAATTGTAGTTTAACGGTTTCTATAAAAATGATAAACTATTTGAGTCGCAAGTTAATTTCAGACTCCGTAAATTGTAAAATGGCTCCGAAGAATTAGATTTCGTATAAATCGAATTTTAATTAAAATTCCATATTTTAATAGCATGTTATTATAGATAACATATGTATGTATGTATGTATTTTTATTTCGTCTTTTTTTCAATTAAATAATTATTTACAAACCAAAATATATAGATTTTATTACGTATTTTCCTTAAACTGCACACTTTTACGTGTTTCCAAACTTATGGAAAGAACTGTACAATATATACGCTCTTGAGAATAAATCAACTAATAAATCAATTTAAAAAGTCAGAAAGAACGTGACTATTAATACGCAATGCCAATTTATTGCAATGAAATTCGTATACTCAACAAATATAACTCGCTAATGTTTCGACCGACATTTTTGGTTCTCTTTAGTGTTGTTTTTATACTCAATATGACAATATTAGAATATAATATTAAATTTACAAGTTCTAGTATTGTTATATATGTTATTTAAGTAAATGTTGCAATAAATCGATACTATTCAATTCTTTTAGGCTTTTTAAATTTTATTAGCCATTCATTTATTAAAGAAAAGAATTTTTATCATCTACAAATTGACTCACCATCATCAGTGATACCAATATCGATTCTGCTTCTATTCCGATCCTTCTTCACGTAAATTGGCGGCAGTTGAGCCTCTGTCATGGGGATATTTTCATATAAAAATCCAAGAGAATAATCGATATACACATCGTTATCCGTTGTAGGAGGTGTTGGCGGACACCACATCTAAAAGAAGATGTTTCAATTAATAATATTCTTCAGAGAACAAGTTCGACAATTCAATCTTCTATTGTACTTCATTATCAATTAAGAATATTGAACTTTTACTTTCCTCTATTTTTATCACAAAGTCCTATAAAATTGTTCATTTTCTTATATGGTGCATAATAAATCAAATAATAATAATTAATAAAATATATCAATTATCATAATGCAAATTACAGAATGACGAATAAATGGATAAGTGCATCCTTTACTTAATTTCTTTATAGATTTGCAATAAAGGATAAAAAAATATTATATTTTGCACTTACTGGCATTTGCTCCATCGTGTGTTCCGATAACCAAATCTGCAAGATGTTAAAGTCATACGTGAGATATCATGCGATTTATGACAGAATTTTCGCTCTCATATGAAGTCCGTCTCTGTACTCGCCAAAGTTTGCAATGTGCTACTAATACGATTTTTAGAGTATTTTTTTAATTATCAGTAAAGCTAAAATTTTCATGAAAATTCCATGTTTAAATCATAAATAAAATTAAAATTTCCAGTAATTAATATGATAATGTGTCTGCGCACAAATAACAAAAAATATAATAAATAATTTTGAGACTACAGAAAGACGGACCCGACGAATAAACTCTCAAATAATGAAAATAAAGAAAGAGAGAAAGGAGCGATACTATTTTTCCCGATATTTTTGTCCAGTTCTAAAGAGATTCAAGAAATACATAATTACAAAATTACAAAATCAAAAAACTTTCAATTATAATATCGAGATATAAAACCTTTCGCGTTATTTAATTAACAAATTTTAAATTAGAAATTGTATCAAAATAAATTCAAATATATTTACTCAGATTCATCTTACTTTCTGAGAGTTTTAATTCGAGATTTAATTTCCAAAATATTAGATGTCAAATCTTAAAAAGTTGTAATAATAAATTTCCTTAAAACTTTTCCTAAGAAAACATGGACTTAAAAAAATGGACAAAACAAAATTCATTGCAAAAATTAAGGCTGGGACATCCGTAAACGTTCAAAGGTTCTCGTTCCTCTCATTCTAAATATCCTGAGAAAGAGTTCTTTACGATATATTCCTTTATATCTATTACTGCGTGTATTCACAATTTTTTTTACAAACATTATGTACATGTATAGATCGAAAGATACATATATAATGCACAATAGACGCAGTATGATGATCTCACTCATGTGCCTGCTCATATCTTGCTGCGGACTCCAAGTTTGGAATGGCAAAGGCAGTGTTTTGGTGCCATTTTAATGGAACAATTTTATTGGAGCTCTTTTTCTCTCTTTTCTTTTTACGCCTACTAAGGTACATATATATCTTCTCGAAAAATGTGCGGTCATGATAGCCTTGCCACACCAAACTGACATCGAAAGGAAAAAGTCATTCTTCGCGTTAAATCGCGATTAAATATAAACAAGCACATTGAGCTGAGAATGATTTGACACCAAAACGGAACTGAACCTTTGATCGACACAGACTTGGAAACGCATCAAGAAATAAGGGTACACATTTCGATATAGTAAGGAATATCTCGTTTATTTTTTTTTCTTCTTCGAACTCTCGCTCGATCATACAAAATACAGGCACGCAACTTAATTATTACTGTGTGAATGTGTGTGAGTGTATGTGGCTGGAGGAGGCAAGTGGAAAGAGCGAAGGAAGGACATCCTTACCGTACACAATAATATATATAACATATATATTATATATACATGTAGTATGTATATATAATATAATAATCAGGTGTCATCGACCTGTGAATTACGTAGCTCAAGGCGGCACGAATAAAACTTTTTTTCACTTTGGCTGCCTCGATACTTCCTTTTCGGGAGTACCAATCGTTCATTACTTTAAATAAATTATTATTATATAAACCTTTTCCAGAAGTAAAATTCAAATCAAATTACCGTGAAATAGCGAAAATAGAATCAAATTGTGTACTTAATATACTGTACTCTTTGTATTTTTTAATCACGTTTTTTGCTCGTGACGCCTGTCAATATACGTGTATGAATAACTTAGCATTACTAGAGAACCGCTTGATTGAGATCAGAGTTCGATCCTCATTTCTAATATAATACACTCGTCCATTTCGCTCATCACGCCGTTTATATAAATCGCTAGACATACTTGACTGAAAATCTGCCTCTTATCGTCTGCACTTTCCCATTCTGCATTCTAAATTTAATAAAACATATTTGCAGAAAAATAAGAGACCAAGATAGATCGCGGAAAGTGCAGCCAGGAGAAACGGATTCATGATATCTTTACAACGAATAAAGTAAAATGTGATGAAGAGGGGGCGGCGAGTCGGAGTACAATTTACAACGCTACAAATATTACACGTGTACTATCCGGTACAACCCGGAGGAAATACATTATTTATTATAATTATACTGTGATTATGTACAAGAGGATGCGTACTCGTGCCCCACATTAACGCTAAACATGTCTATTTGATTCCGTTTCATTTCTTTTTTGTGGAATATCGATAATTTTTTCCAATAAAATTTCTTCTTCTTTTCGTCGCTCTTACATAAACTTTTTCTTCCTAAATTTTCTTTTTCTTTCACATTTAAAATCTCTAATGTAATTTTTCTCATATGTAATATTAGAAGTTTTCCTAAAGTTTTCCTCCTGTATCTGTTCCTTATAAAATTCTCTCTCTTTTTCTTCCTATTTTCTATAATAACCGCACATAATTATTCTGAAGGGAGAATCAAACAGTCACTGAGCGATAAATATAGGATAAGTACGGGCAAAAGACGCGTCATCAACGCGCAATTAATTACAGGCGTTTCTACAAACCAGGTTTAGATTAGACTTTATCCCATGAAATTTCTTACTTATGTTATTCCCTTATTAGAATTCTCTCAACATTTATCATTAACTCGACTATTAAATAACAATTTCTTACTTATACTTAATTATGTTTTGTTTCTCTATAAAAAATCAGTTTTAATATATAATTAAATAAAAATCTATAACAAATAACAAAAATTCAGTAAACTCATCTAAATTAAAATATGTGTGCTTCTGTAAATCCACCATAAATTTTTAAGCAAAGAAAAAAAGACAATATTTTTTACACTATTCATTGATTACATAATAATTTTGTCTTTCTCTTTAAATTAATTTTTAAATTTTTTATTCTTAATTATTTATATAAAAAATTCTTTACATATATTTTCTATAATATATCAATCAGAGATCTTTTGTCTTTATTTATGGAAAGATCCATCTTCAGATCTACATGCACGAAATAAATATTTAAGCTTTTACTTTAGTTCTTAAGAGAATAAGATTTATATTTCCTATTTTCGATGTTATTATAGAATTAATGCACAAATACTGAAGACTTTCATCTTATGTTTTATATTGAAAGAATATTAATGAAAAAAAGCATCAAGAATTATCATGCGACAAATGCTAAGCATAAACCCGGGTATCACGCACATAATAGGCGGATTGAGTAGCAGACACAATAGTAGATATATTTGACTGCTTGATCGAATAACAATTATATTCCCAACGGAATAGCTTGTGTCGTTGATGATTACCGCAATGATGCTTCAGCGTGGCTCAAGATATTGTGGTGTTCTTCAGTTTTTCAGATCGCGTCGTTGTGACGGAAGAGGAGGGCGAGGGGGAAATCTGCGAGGAACGAAATCTCTTCTGCGGATCTTCATCGCTAACATCATTAGAACCGTCCTCGTCTTCCAACGAATTTGATATAGTTTTGGCGCGCTTTGTTTCTTTACGCAACCTTCTGGACTTTATGTCAGACGAGTTGCAGTCCTCGTGATTGGCCTCTTGTTCTCTCAGTGTGTCTGACACGGATAATTCCTTATCCTGAATTTTCGTCTCGCAATTAACATTGGATTTGGACTGACTTGACGAGATCTTGCTACTGGTATTCCTTGTGTCCAAAGTGAGAATGGCTACAACCTTGGCCGTTCTTTGAGGCTTCTCGTAGGGCTGCGACGTCAAACTTCCACTATTCTCACTTGCAGTGTTTTCGTTCTCGCTGCTGATTGATGGATTTCGTATCCGCTTGACATTTGTTTTAAATGCTGAAGCGAGAGAAGATAACGGTGATGATGTTGATTTCATCGACAGGGTGGAATTCAAGAGCAATCCCGAGCGCGTCACTCTATGTACCTGATCATTGTTGTGACCGGGCGGTATGTTAGGTCGAGGCGTGTCTGGACGTTTTGTCGAGACGACTGTCGTCGAACCTTCCTTCGAGTCCCGCGGTTTCATTGGCGGTATCGATCTACTACGTCTGAATGGCATTGGAGAATTCGGTAGGCCATTGTCTTGATACTGTTTCGAGTTCCGTGTCGTATATTTTTCAACTCGACTGGGCAGTACCGTATCGAGTCTCGCAGGAAAGTTCACGGTGGATCTTGTAATAGGTCGCGGAAGAGGAGTATCCGAGCGTCGCTTCAACTTTGATGAAAGTTGTGTCATCGTCTCGTCATTGCTAGGTGGAGGTGTCCTTGAGTGACTTGCTGATCGCGTAATCCTGCTCTGTAATTGCTCCGCAATTAAATTGTCGGCTCTTCGAATTCCCGTTTTCATTTGCGAATGCTCCGATACTTTCGAATCAATCTTATCATTCATCAATTGTGTCTTATTTTCTTCTAAATGATTAATAGTTGAGGAAATTTTTGAGCTACGAGTTATTACGCTTCGCTGAACTATGTTTTCTACTTTTCGTATTTTGCATTTAGGTTCACTTGAATTAAATTGGCTTTTTACAGAGGGTACTAAAGAATTGGGCACATTCGATGCCACGTCACTTATTCCTTTTTCCGATACTTGCGATAAAGCGTCTGAATTTTCGCTTTTCAAATTGAATTTTTGATCCGATTTTTGCATCACCAGGGATATCGCTGACTCAGCATCATCATTAACTTCATTACTATTATCCTTGTCTTTATCATCAACCGCATTACTACGAGCTACCTCATCAGTATTTACATTAATCTTGGAATTTCTCTGCACGGTAGAAACGCGGGATATCGCAACAGGTTTAGAGACAGTGTCGGTCGTGTCAGGACTTTCATTTCGCAACGTTTTCGATCGTAAAAGAGGAGTCGAACGATTAGAGGGTGACTCGACACTTCTGTCAGATTCTCTCGGCGCGGCAGCAGTCAATTTCCCTCGCACATTGTTGCACAAAGAATTGGCTGACGCGAATTCTAACTTGGATTTGGCCACTGTCTCCTTCGAGCGTTTCAAAGACGCATCCGGTTGCATCGTGCTCGAAGGAGACCGAGAATCCCTCACGCTGACATTCACATCGAGATTCTCCGCATCCTCATTGCGATTTACTTCGGGCTCAAGCTTTTTATAGGTCGTGGACATAACTTTATGTGAGCACCGCGTCACCTGAACGGAGCAGACCGCAATTAAATTAGTCCCATTCGTATTTTTATCATCACTTCTTTCTTTTTCTTTTTTTACATTTTGACTGTCCACTATATCAGAAGCCAATTCCAACTTTCTGTTTGATTGTGTTTTAACGACTAATGTCGAATCCACATGATCACCAATAGATTGCTCCGTAATAAAATCAGTAACACATCGGTCCACACTGTTCGAATCGATCGAGGATGACGCGAGATCGCAACCATCCTTCAAATCTCGCTTGTCCTTCGATAAATTTCGATCAGTTTCCTTTATCTCGATGATTTCGAGTTTTGTATTCTGATTGGAATTGACAGATATTTTGGTGCTTGTGTTAATCCGAATGCTTCTTTTACGACATACATCAACTGATGAGAAGGTTTCGAGACGATTTTCCTCCGATTTCGCGCGATGAAATTTTTTGCGTTTCCGGCGAAAGTTTGGCTTTATACCAGGCAGGATAGGACTCACATCCAAAGTCCAGAGATTGATCTTAACATTCCCACGCGATCTAGTACGTGGACTATTTAGATCAAAATGATTTCGACTACGGGAGCCTGAGCCTGCCAGACGACCCTTCCGTCTCGAGAAACCTCCTCGACGTTCGGAATCATCGCGATTATTCGCCCTTCCATCTTCGTTCCCTTCACCGGTCTCCTGTTCTTCTTCCTCCTCCTCATCGCTCTCATCTTTCTCTTCGCCTTCCTCTCCTTCTTCCTCTTCACCCTCATCCCCTTGACTTTGACTCTCTGTATGACTCGATTCCTCGTCAAGACTATCCTCAACCACGTCCTCCTCTTGTGATTCCGAATCCGAATCTGATTCGGTGCTAGTAGTTTCGTTTTCGCTTTCCGACGACAAATCGCGCGCACGTCTCCTATTACCGCCACGTCTACGCAAACTTCTTCTACTTGGTACTATTAACCTCTTATTAACTAATCGCCTGGAACCGCTCTTGGCGGCAGTACTATTAACCTGATTCTGCGCATCCTCGCGGCCAAATGTTAGTGGCTTCTCATCGTCGTCGGCGAGCCGCATACGCCGTTCCTCCTCCTCGCGCAATGCCCGCAACCGGTCTAACTCCCACTCCTTCTTCTGCTCCTCGAGTTCCCGTTCGGCTGCGGCCAGTTGCGCCGCGGAGAACGCACCTTCGGATTCCTCGACGAACTTCATCGCATATCGTTCTATTGGAGTCAGCTAAATGGAATATTATAGAACCATTAATCGAAAGTTTAACATAAAGATTATATGACAAGTGACATAAAAATTAAATGATACAAAAAAAGAATAAAAACCAAGGCAATTTCTAACTAATCCAACGATTTTAAAAAATGTTCGACCTACCTGAGCAATCAGATTCTGAACTTCCTGTTCTGCCTTGCTAACTTGTGTGTCGTCTTTATCAGCTTCTTCCAGCGGAATGTTTTCATCGAATTCAGCGAGATCGGCGACAGCTTCTGCTTTCGCAGTCTTTGCAGCCAGAACATCAAGATCTTCTTCAGCAGCAGCGAGAGCGCTCTCAAGAGCACCCATCGCTGCCTTTTCCTCCGTATGCTGTCCTGAAAAACCACTTTGAAATGGTCCCGCTGTTATGTCCTTGCTGTAGGTCTTTTCTCGATCCCGATTCTGTTCGAGCACTTCAGCCATTCGCGCTGACGCATCATTCTCAGTTTGATCGATGTTAAACAAGTCTTGAATAGTAGACTGCAAATAATCTTATTGTTACAAAAAAGTAAACAGAATTATCTCAAAGAATCAAAAATATCGATAAAGACATTGATGTGTCTTGTCAATCCAAAACATAATTTTTCAGCAAATATTACTGTTATTTAATTTTAATATTAAATGTAAAATGTTATAATTAAAAAAATTTTTAAGTAATAATGCAATAAATAAAAGAAATTCCTGTATGAAAAATAATTTCACATTTCTTATATAAAATGATGAAAGAAAATTATATATTTCTGATTAATAAATACTAACAAATAGTAATATAATTTATTTAATTCTTAATGAGCACTTACACTTTTGAAGTACGCCGTGGTGAAATTGCCGCCTTCAATAGCGAGATCTCCTAGCAATCGTTTCTGATTTGCCTTTTTCAAAATATTTTCTTCAACAGTTTTCTCACTGACTAATCTGAAAGATAAATCATTGTACTGCATATTATCTCGCGGTCAAACGTGTTAATTTTTTTGCTGTCTTTGCAAAAATATTTTCAAATTAATAAAATATTCTGAGTTTTTGAAGCTATTCAGTCATTTCGACTATTATATTATTAGTTCGCATCTTGTGTACCTGTAGATATGTACGTCCCGCGTTTGTCCTATTCTGTGGCATCTGTCTTGCGCCTGGGCATCCATTGTAGGATTCCAATCACTATCATAAAATATCACTGTGTCTGCCCCCGTCAAATTCACACCGACACCACCAGATCTCGTCGACAGGATAAAACAAAATATTCGCTTATCGCCGTTGAACCTTTCCATCAAAACCTGAAATCATCATTCTCATTAATGATTATTTATTTATTTATTTTTTTCATTTAATCTCGCAATAAAAATATGTTGCATAAAATGTTCTACATTTCTTATTACGCTTCTAAAGTTAATCATTATATGTTTTAAAAACTAACAAAAAATTAATATGCTTTCAATACTCGTAATAAAAATTTCAAAAAATCAATAATTTAAGAGTTTAAATGTTTAAAATGCAATAAATTTTAATATTCTTGTTAATAGGTCAAATTACCTGACGTTGATCTACTCTAGTTGTACCATCTAATCGCAGATATATGTGTCCATGGAAATTCAAAAAGGCTTCTAACACGTCCAGCATTCTGGTCATCTGTGTGAATATGAGGACTCGATGACTTTCAGATTTTAGCTTTCTCAACAGCCGATCCAGCGATTGCAGCTTGCCACAATCGTACTGGATGAGTCTGGGATCGGGGAACTGTGTGAGCATGTGGCATGAAATTGGATGAAAGAGAAATAATTTCGGCGACATTTGTTGTTGTAATTCAGTCCACAGACGACGCTCATTCCATAACTTGTATGGCGGCGGATGAGACACATGAAACCGAGGGACTGGAGCGCGTACAGCCGGCACATAGACTACATATCTGCACGAATATTAAAAAACAAAAAAAACTTAATTCCAGAAAGAATGATCTAAATAGCAGATTGCAGAATCTTATTTTTCGCTTAATTCTAAACAATCATTCACTTTAAATAAAATTTTAATTTTTGTAAGCTTATATTATATTTGTAAGCTTATATTTAATATTATAAGAAAAAATTATTTTCTATACATTGATTATATATATTTATAAATTATATCGGATATTAACCTTTCAAAGATTTCTTTGAGTTCTTCAACAATCTGCTCCGTGCTTTTGATAGCTTCCGCAAGTGCTTCCGTGTGTGAAAAGAACTCTTTCCGAGTACGAATCTTTGCTTGAGTCTTTGAACAATGCACCCAACCATCATGCCAGCGACAAGCTGTCGCAGGTTTACCGATTCTCAAAGCCATAAACAGATCTTCACCGTAAAGTGGACATGCCGCGCATCTTCGTTCATTGATGTCTGCGAGGAGATGCAATTTGTTTTGTCTTCTCTGTCTCCTTTCCTCCTCCAATTGAGGCTAAAAAATAATAAAGAATTAAAATGTTCTATAAAAAAATTTAAATAAGCACTTAATAGAACAATTTTAATGTAAAATTAAAATCCATTAGATAAAATTACTTTATTTTTTTACAAGAATAAAAAGAAAAAAAACGAGAAGAAAAATGAGAATCAATTATTGAGATATCTACATTCAATTACCAAATAAAATTCGGATTTAGGCTGTTCCTTGTTTTGCACTTTCGCGATCTCTTTCTGAGCTTGTCTGGTAACAATACCACGTATCGATTGCGGTTGTTGGTGGCTAACTGTCTGTTGGCTGTTGTTTCCGCTTGGTGATGATTGCGATGCTGTTACGTTCAGAGGAGGTACCCTCATGATGGGTCGACCACTTGGCGTTGTTACTACTCCACTAACAACCTTATTCATCGTCGTAGCACCCGATGTGGCCAAACCCATTATCGATTTAGACAGCACCGTAAAACGTGATCCGCTCGATGTCATGACTGGAAATGAAACTAACAATACAAAATGTGTTACTTTTTTTTATCTGTCACTGCCAACAAGCTTAAGTTTACGAAAATAATTGTAAAAATCATAATCAGACACAAACCTGTGTTAGTATTCTGTTGACTCGGTGTCAGAATAAAGTGTCTGCCGGTAGATGTTTGAACCAGTTGCGCAAAACTAGGTACCGCTATTCTCTGGACGGAATCGCCTTGTTTGACAGTAACAGTTTGTGTCGCCAGTCGTTGAATGCCATCTCTGATGCTAGCATTTCCTACCGTAATTCTTTGCGCATTTGTCGTTGTCGTAGTAGTTGTTACGCTAGTACTTTGTGGATTATTTCCCAACGTTGCCATAGGAAAAGCTATTTTTAATTTAATAAAAATTTACATTTTATACTTTTAGATACACTTTTAATATTTTATTCTAAATATGACTATGCTAATAAATATGTTATTGCTTAAACAAAAATTAAAAAATTTGTTTTCAATATACAGGGTGGGCCATTTAAAATTTGAAATTTAATTTGGTTCTAAAAAAAAACGCATGAATATTTTTCAAAGTTTATTGAAAAGGTAGTACATTGCCATTAAACATGAAATACAATTTCATTTAAATGACTTCCACGGCTGGCTGCACAATACCCCATTCTATCAACCCAATTTTTCAGTACATTTTTCATTGTATGGGTGCGTATTTCATTGATGGCAACTTTGATTTCATGTTTTAATTCTTGAATCGTTTTTGATTGGTTAGCGTAACACTCATCCTTGACGATTCCCCATAAAAAATAGTCCAGCGGAGTCAAATCGCAGCTGCGAGGCGGCCAATTGACATCAGCATTTCGGCTGATTATGCGATTTTCGAAGACAGTGCGCAAAAGATCGATTGTAGCGTTGGCTGTGTGACAAGGTGCGCCGTCCTGTTGAAACCAAATGTCGTCTGTGTCCTCTTCAAATTTGGGAAGCAAGAATTCGTTTAGCATGGCGCGGTAGCGCTCGCCATTGACAGTGACGGCAGTTCCTTGCTCATTTTCGAAGAAAAATGGCCCAATGATGCCGCCGGATCAAAAACCACACCAAACAGTCACTTGTTGTGAATGCATCGGCTTCTCCATGACGACGTACGGATTCTCTGATCCCCAAATATGACAATTCTGCTTGTTCACATAGCCACCGACGTGAAAATGAGCTTTAGAAAAGATGATTTTTCGGTAAAAATGCTCATCTTCAAGTATTGTTCAGCCCATTGGGCGAACCGAAAACGCATCGGATGGTCATGCGGCTTCAATTCTTGCACTAATTGAACTTTGTACAGTTTCATACCGAGGTCTTTATTCAAAATTCTTCTCAAAGAAGTGCGTGAAATGTTCAAGTTTTGAGAACGATGGCGAGTTGATGTTGATGATTGTTCAAGCACACTCTGAGCAACAGCAGCAATGTTTTCGGTTGACCTTACTGGACGAGCACGTGAACAAGTTGCTTTATCCAATATCCAAAAAGTATCCAGTTTGCCGAATTCGCTTCACAAATTGATCCACAAACTGCGTTGAAGGCATTTCTTTTCTATCAAATTTTTCACGTAAATTTCTTACAATTTGGGTTGAAGACTCACCACTTTGGAAATAAGTTTTCAATATTTCCCAATTTTGTTCAAGCGTATAGCGACCCATTTCATAAATGTCAAACAAAAAACTAAATTTCTGATACGTCATAAATGTTATTATGCCTTTCAAACTCAAAATAACTGGTTGAAATTCCAAACGCTAGATGGCCCACCCTGTACTCAATGAATTTTAACAGAATGTAAAAGTATAATATACAAATATAAATATAGCAACTACAAATTTATTATGTAATTTGCTCCAAAGATTAATTTTTTATAAAATATGTCCTTAGTTCTAGAAATGCTTATAAACGGTAAGATTATAAACAAGCTGGCCCAAGGAATTTAGCAATTAATTTAGCATCACTGCAAAAGTAATTGCCTAGCAAGAAACTCACAGCGACAGTTACTGATCGATGATGCATAATTTCATATTATTTTTATTTAAAAGTATAATTACACAAAATATGATATAAAATTAATGTATAATTTTGTAATACATTTAATTGTATTTGAAAATGTATTACGAATTCAAAAATAAGATTGTGTTAATCTAAAAAGTCGTTTACCTTTCACGCCAGCCTGATGCGGCACCAGTTGTAGGGAATAACCTTGTAATTGTTGACCACCAGCAACTCTCAATGTAACACCTGAGAATAATAGTTGTTGCATTTCGTGTTCGATTAACATACATACATATATTAACTTTAAATATATCAATTAAATCACGAGAAATTAAAAGAAACAAAATAGCTAATTAAAAATTTATTTCGTACAATCAAATGCATTAACAGATCTGATATGTTCAGTATTTTGTGATTCCACAAATTTTTTTCTTTGCTAATATGAAATAGTTATGCAATTATGTAAACGTAAAGAGATATTTCTTAAATGTTATACAAAGAGATTTGATGAAATATAAGTACGCATCGAACGTCAATGCATCTAATTGAATTATTAATTTTAATATTTGGATCGATATAAAGTTTAACAAATTCTTTTTTTTTATTATAATTAATATTAATTGACACAAAACTACAAATGCTATACAAATACTTGTATCGCATCACTGTAATATCCTGTTAATTCTTCCCTCGTAGCCCGGGATAAGGTTTTGTTCATGTTTCTTCGCAACGAATTCCATCCATTCATTGCGTTAATCTTTTCATGACCAATAAAAACATTTTATCTCTTTTTCCATTATCATAAAATCGTATTGGCAACTAAGAATCTCAAATAAATATAATATAAAATCCCATAATTCTTTTTACATAATAAAAAAAAGTTTTATTATTTTTATTATTTTATTATTTTTCAATGCATTTAATATTTTATAATTAATATGTGATACTAATATTTTACATAATTAACATTTTATTTTTTAATATTTATTTTTTTAACTATTGCCGCTATTTTAAACTATTTGCGAAATGTAATTTTGCTACTAATAAATGGCCATGAAAATGTTAACGACTAATGCGGTAAGATGGGATAGCTTGGACCTACCTTGTCCCGGACCACTCTGGCTGCTATTTAATGACTTTATCAAGGGAGACGTACCCACTCTTGGCGTGGGTAATACGCCAGCCAGATTCTTTAGTCTAGTCTGCGTTTGCTGTTGCTGCTGTGGCTTTGCTTGATTCGATAATCTAACGTTGATCTTGATCCGGCCAGACGGACATCTTGGCGGCGGTTCCGGTTGACTATCTATCTCTTCTATTAACTTTCTAGGTGTCCGCAGACGTTTCACTCTATGTGCAACAAATGCACTGAGCATCAACTCCAAGTTCAACAGCAAAAGGTTCAAACTAGACAATTCGATGTGCTGCAAAGACAAATCACAATTCGTAAAAACCAAAATAAATTAGTGCTCTTCTCAATTTCAATATACATATAAATCAATAAATCAAATAAGAGCACGGTTAACACAGAATATTGTTTAACCTAACCTTGAAGGGATCATAATCAAGCACACTCCAGACTAATGAAGCGGTTACAAATTCAATCGCTTCCATTTGAAATGGTGAAACGGTCGGTCGAACCTCGAACAGGTTTGGATGATTACACACCTTTCGTAGTTGCATTAATACGTTAATCACACTCAACAGATTCCCGCTGGCGAGTGTTTCCTTCGTTCTTTAACAATATATGTAATCATTAAATACAAAAATATATAATAGTAATATATAATAGTAAATTCTAATTAAGACCGATAGTCAGATTTTATCTTAAGATCGACTTAAATAATGTTTTAGGTGATAATACAATTCTATAATTGATTTATGTCATATATCTTAAGGGAGGAGTGACCGTACTTCTTATCATAAATATAAGAGTTAAATGTAAGATCTGTTAAATGTAACGTCTTAAATGTAAGATAAGAATCTATAAATATTGAAATGTAAGATAAGAATATATAAATATAATTTTAAATAATTTACTATATAAGAGTATCACATATTCTAAAAGAAATAAAAAAAAATGTCACAGTTTTAAGAAAAAAAGTATTTTTAGTAGAAAAAGAAAATAGCTAATACTTCAGATTAGCCCTCCCCCAATGACCTTGATCTTGACATATGTTGTCAAAGTTATGATTCCGAATGACGACAAGTTTTAATCATCGCTCGTTATTTGTTAAAATTATTAACAAAAGAAATTTAAAAAATGATATTTCTTTTCTACTATATGAAACAGAAATGTTCTGCTTTAAAGTATATTTTACAACTTTCTACGCGAAGCGATTCTAAGCTCATTTCCTCCCCTCCCTGTTTGGAGGCGCACGATTTCCACGCGAAGTGACTCTCATCCCATCTCCACTCTGGGTGCGTAATTTTCCGATTGATCATATTTCTTTGAAAAGTCCTGCACCCCTTAGCAGGGGAAAATGAGGTGAGAATCGCTTCGCATGGAAATCGTGCATCCCCAAGCAGGAGGGAGGTGGGATGAGAGTCATTTCGCGTGAAAGTTTTGAAATAAGACATTATTTTTGTAAACTTTTTGTTAATAATATTTTAACGAATAACGAGCGATAGCTAAAATTTGGAAGTTATTATCTTAGCTATGTCAAGATCATTTGGGCGGGGGATCCTAATCTGGAGTATTACCAAGAAATATTTTTTTTTATTTCCAAAGCTTAGAACAAAGCTTTTAAATTTCAAAAATATTACGTGTTAAAGAGTTCACTTACTTGGCCCTCGACATGAAATCATCATACAGAAATCTCTGACGCTTTGACAAACGGCACATAACCACGTGCTCATATTTCTTCGGCAATTGCTTTTCCACTTCAGTTTTTAATCGTCTTAAAAGAAAAGGTCGCAACACCTACGGAGAATGTTTATTAGATATTAAATTTACTGTATAAAAAATTAAATATATATATATATATATATGGTACATTTCTATACATATGTTGAACAACGTTATATGAAATGTAAGTTCTTTTGATAATGTATTTATAAATTAAATTAAAAAAGAAAAAGACAAAAAAAAAGATGATAAAAGTTAAAAAACTACGTACAGACCTTATGTAGACGGCGGATTATGTTCTCGTTGTATTCGCTGTTTCCTTCGATCATGCCTGTTACAGGATTGCTAAACCACTCTTTAAATTCACGATGCGATTGAAAGACATTAGGCATAAGAAAATGCATAAGCGACCATAGTTCCATTAAATTGTTTTGAAGGGGTGTGCCAGTAAGAAGTAATCTCCTATAACAAATGAATCGAAAAGATACAGTGACATTTCAATTTTTATTTAAGTATGAAAGTTTCACTTTCAATTAAAATAATCAATATAAATCAGAATTCAAATTTTGTAACTGTTAAGAAAACAATATACATTTTTTACAGTTTAAAAATTAAGAATTTCAAAAAATTAGAAAAAAATTAATATATTAAATGACTTAATATTTTTCAAGTCGTAAATAACGCTATTTTATATATATTTCTAACATTTGATTAATTTTAATTATTAAAATTAATCCTACGAATTAAAAAAGAATATATTTTATAACATTCAAACAATTATAATTAATAAATATATTGTTTCTCCAGACAGGATTCGTATGTCAGACAACGATCGATTTTTGACACGCGAGTTTTAATGGAGAATTTTGCTATGTCGCTGTTTAATAATACAGATGTTATTATTTTGGATTAACGCCTGTTGTCGGCAGCGAGCAAAATTACAATTATATATAAATGAAAAAGGTGGAATTTTAATAAAAATATATATAATTTCTTTT